GAAGAAAATGATCTCAATAGAATCAGACCTTTTTTTTAGATGAAATATTGGATTTTTATCTTTTGCAATGTAGCCATATGAATTTTTTTTATTTTAAATTCACCAGAAAAAAATTGACCTGCAAAAATTAAGCTGCAAAAATTTGTGTACAAATGTGTTAACCTTAAGTGACTCAAAGCAATCAGCTAGATCAAGTGGCTTTTAGGAATTTTTTWAATTAACACTCACTGTATTATGTGTAAAAGCAGTTCCTTGAGCAGATGTCATAAGTAAAGTGAGGTTGAACAAGGTGCGAGGGTGTGTGCACCGACTGACGCAATTGCGCCATCCCGCCCTGTGTGTTGGCCCTGTATGGCGCCTGGTCATGCACCTCCAAATTTTTCTAACTCTTCCTGCTGCATGTGACACACTTCAGTTTGTTTGTCCGTCAAGCATTCATTCTCATTTTTACAACATTTCACGAGTTATAAATTGTACGTGTCCTTGAGTTACTGTACCAACATAAGCATCATATGCCTACACCGCTTGTGAGGCTAAGCTGAGCCCTATGCAACACTCAAAATCACTACAGCCCAAACCTTACGTGAGGTGAAGCCACTTTAATGCAGGGGCGTTCATCAGGTAATTTTCAGGTGAATTTCTGCAGCTGAAAAYTTTGCTGACAATTTTAAAGTATAAAAATTTCACATCCAAAAATTCTGTCACAAATTAAATCTCTAAAACAGGGGTCACTAATAGGCGGACCTGGGTCCGGATCCGGACCAGAATGGTGTCTCATGCGGACCTGTACCTAATGCCAAAACAGAGATCATCACTTAAAACTTAAACGAGAGGATGTAATTCTGCGTTCATACCTAACGAGATTTGTGTGCCAGGGGCATCGGGTTTACATGCAAAGTGTACGGGGGACACACGTCAAGGGGCATTGAGAAGTGTTGCTGTGCGTTTTGATGCGTTTGATGCATGTATAGCGCGTCCAAAGCTGCAGACGCTTGAATTAAGAAATGTGAAATTTTGCAGCTAGATGTGGAGTGTCAGCCAATCAGAGAGACTCCGCTATGTGTGACGTAGTGGCGCATTTTCCTGCGGGATAATCTCCAGAATGATGCCTACTAACCTGAGACAGATGGACAGGAGCTCTCCAGATGAAACTGAGCACCTGTAGTTGTCCTGGCAGAAGATATGGGCATCGATGGGGGTCAGCAACTCGTCCGACTGGGCTCAGGACAAAAAAAAGTGCTGCATGCAATACTCATCAGCACACAGCTCCTGGAGTGGTGAAACTCACCAAATTCAGAACTCTGAAATATCTGGTGAATCCAAGGCGCCTAACGACAACGTCCTCTGGCTCTCAGTAAATAAAGCCATGCCACTCTCTGTTTCATCTGCCATTGTACAGAGGCCGGTAAAGAAGGCTCCTCTCAACGTGCATGGAGCGATTTTGACGAGCGTCTGACCTCAAAGTGCAGAAGTGTCCAACTTGAGGAACTGGACACATTTTTGACGCGCAAAACGTGTTGGGTCTAAACTCAGCATAAACCAGTTACATGCACAGGTTTTGCAGTCTTTATGGTCGTGGTCAAGTGTTATTGACAGAGGAAAGGATGGAGAAGGGAGAGAAACAGGCATAGAGAAGGAAATATACAGGTGTGTGAGAAAGAACGGAGAAAACTGATAGATGATATGGAGGAGAGGAGAGAAACAGGAGTGTTAACTGAAAC